TCTTGCATTATGTGTTATACAAGTGTAACATTATTATTATTATTATTATTATTATTAAATCATGAAGTTATAATTCTGTTCTCACAATGTTTAGCAAAAAGTAAATTTACGGTATTCAGTCACTGCTGATGGCTTCATATCACTACATTTCAAAAGACATCAAATATTGCACAGTACATTCTCTTTATTGACCAATTATATCATTCATGATTTACTGTATATAGTATGGTTTATTTCAATTTTGAAATGTATTTACTGGCTGTAGAATACTGTAGTACTGTACAAAAATTGAGTAATTATTACTATAATAGACTTTCGTTTGATCTGATTATTTTTAATTTGAATTCCAGATCGACTACATAAATTAATCTATGTGCATCAAAAAGCTACAGTAGTCACTTGATACTGTAGGTCTTGTATACTGTAATAACCTGTCATTTTTGCTAGGTATAAAATCATTTTAATAATAGTGTAGCTTTATGGATTCCTCTTGGGTACCATGGTGAAAAGTGATATCTATATTAGTAGAGTTTTTCCTGATTGTCCCAACACAGCACTATGCAGTGGTCATGCTTTATTAGTTGTGACTATCAAGATCATATTTTAATATGAAAAAAAAGATACTATCAGTTAATAGAAAGAATCAATTACTTTTAATATTTAATTAAATTGATATCTTTCCAATTAAAATTAGAACATGAAAATATTTTCAGTGCACATTTATATAATGCCATTAAATAAAATAATTTTGATAATAATGAAGCTTATAGAGTCCCCTTTGGTACCATGGGGGAAAGTGATATCTATATAAGTAGTGCTTTTACTGATTGTCACAACACAACACCATGTAGTGATCACGCTTCAGTAGACTTTTAAGATAAAATTTTAATAATAAATAAGATATTATAATATCACTATCAGTCTTGAGCTATTAAACTTGAACAATAAAATGTATTATTTCGCAAATTGATTGCTTTCAATATATTTAATTAAATTCATCTGGATCCCATCCAATCCTAAATCAATTATACTATATTAGTGAGCCTTTTTTTTATACCTTGTTTCGCAAACATATTTTTTTAAAGATCATCACAGAAGGGCGGAAAACAAATTAAAAATAAAATTTTGTTTTCTTCTTAGTTTGCCAAAAACGTCCAGATTGAGGAGAAAATAAAAATAAAATTTTAATGGTGAATGTCTTAAAGCAGTGTAGTAATGGGATGGTAAATGGTTAAATTTATATAATTAGGAAGAAATACAGTATACATACCATCAAACCTCTTCTTTTGAAGATGGGCTTCTTTTCGAGGTTACTTTTGCAAAGTAAAGAGGGTGGGGGGGGTGGCGGCTTTTCAAAGTGAGTGCATAAATTTGTACTATAAAACAATAAATACAGCCACTGTAACATCAATCTGTATCATGGAGTGTATTTAACTGACATTAAATTACCTAAACTACTGTATAAACCAAGCTTATGCTTAATTTATTTTGTTTTTTGAAATTCATGTACAGTATATACTGTACTATCCCGAAAAGAAGCCTACGCTATCTTGAAAAGAAACCCATGGGCTTTTTTTCAAGATGGGCCTCTTTTCAAGGCTAATTTTGGAAACTAAAGAGGGGCTTCAATTCGAGATGGGCTTCATCTCGACATTAAGCACACTGGGCTTAAATTCGAGGTTTTCTGGTATCTTATTTTATGAACATTTCAAGGCAATGGTGGCTCTAATAACAATTAAGAAAAACTTTTTTTTCTATTCTGAAATTTCCATTTTTCCGTTGCGGTAGATGCCGCTGATCGGCCAAAAACAAAACTTTATTTTTATTTAAAAATTATTATTGGCAGGCGGCGGGTTCTCTATACAAGGTATAAAAAAAGTCTAGCCTTAAGTAATAATAATAATAATATTTCTATATTTTTTCATTCTGGTACTTCTTGTCTAGTTCAAGCTTCTGTACTAACGCAATTAAAATATTGGAATAAGTTACAGTATTTTAATTGTATAAGCAAAATTAATATTTTCTTTCAGAATAAAGCTCTGAACATAAGTATTACAGTTTTCGCATTATAAATCGATTTATAAACTTTAATACTTTTTTTTAAAATAATTTTTTTACTCATATGTAACAAGGAAAACAAATCTCATGACATCATTATGACAATAAAGAATAATCTGAATCTACTTGATCTTTTTTAGTTATTAAGGCGAGGCTTTTTTTTTATACCTTGTTTAGCGGACCTGCCGAACGCAAATATTGTTTAGCTAGACACCGCCATCACTTGACCACCTGTGAGTCATGCATCGGCGGGCTTCACGCCTTAAATTGCCAATAAACGGTGCGGTGTTGGTCTGGTTTGGTTAGGCGTCTGGAGTGCTATTAGTCTAGGTTCATGGTTTTTTTTCTTGTCCGTTTCCTTCCGTTGTTGTCAAGCGCCTCGAGGTTGGTCCAACGGGAGGCGCTTTACAAATTGCAAATTATTATTATTATTCAATATTGATGATTTCAAATAAAAATAAAATTGTATTTTTGGCCAATTAGCGCGTTCGCCGCAACAAAAAATGTAAATTTCAGAAAAAATTTTTTTTTTAAATTACGCCCTCCACTGCCTTGAAATATCCAAATATAAAATATGTATATTTCTTCCTAATTATATAAATTTAAAGCATTCAACCATCCCATTTTACATTCACCAATAAAATTTTCTTTTTATTTTCTCCTGTGTCTGGATGTTTTTGGCAAAACTATTTGCTAAATAAGAAAACAAAATTTTATTTTTATTTTTATTCTGCCCTCCTCCAAAAAATAAGTATGCGAAACAAGGAATAAAAAAAAGTCTCGTCTAATTCAATGTATCAATTGAATTATTAAGTTGGTTTTGTTTATTTCTAAAATTGCAGATTTTACAGATTATTACTAGAAATTGCAAATTGCAAGTGAAGTGCTGCGAAGTAAAACTGCATAAAATGTTCTTCGAACAAAATTATTTATGCGAGTCAAGTGAAAATAATGAATAATAAAAATATAACAAATAATATGAGACACGACCAATTGTGTTGGTACCGTGTACAATAGTGTATTGCTGCAGTGACATCTCACTGCTGGCGACTCGCTGCTGCTGGCGATGACTCGCTGGCGAATCGATCTGCGCATGTGTATAAAATGGTATTTATCCGAAACACTATGCCAGTCTACAACAAGCCTCGCCTAAATGTAATAATTAGCACGTTAAAATAGGCTAGTAAATAAGTTTAACTGGGTTTGTAAATAATATTGGCCTCAAAATATTGTGACTGAGACATGAGCCAATTAAACGTAGAAATAGGAAACCTAGAAATATAGTAAAAACGCTGAATAGTACTCCAGCGTCACGACATGCGGACGTTGGTACGAGTAGGTTAATCTACAAACGTCGCCTAAAGTAATTGATTTTAACCGGCAGAACGAAAGAAGGAAACTCCGCTTTTCAGTTGTCTTAGGCCCAGGTTTTTTGACAAACAATGACCTTTCAGAGGTCAAATTGCTGTCAAGAATATAAATTGGCTGCTTCGCAGCAATAATGTATATTTTACATTGTTGTGGTTGGTTCGATCCCCATGAATTCAAGCAGCTCATTCTAATATCAGAATTCGCAAACACTTTTATCATGCAACTTTAGTGCATTCTTGATTAATGCACAAATATTTTGATATGGTTTATAAATGTCAATAGTATCATGTTATAGATGAGTTCAAAATTTCTTGTAATAAAGTGAAGTATTTGTTTTTGCTGAGCACATGTGCTGGTTTAACACATTCCTACTGTGATTTTTTTTTGTCATTATATTTCATGGATGTTCATTATCATTAAAATATTCAATTGTTAAGTGTTATAAATTGTTATTTTTTTTATCATTGATTAGCATATGATATCATTTTGAAAAAAAACTCAAATTCTTTAATCTTTATCAGGCGGCGAATTAAAACCTATTTATTACTATGACCTACTGTACGCCCCCAAAAAAGGCATGATTGTGAAGTCAGCTACCATCGTCAATTAAAAGAATTGCACACCTGCAATGAGAATTTTATTATCGTTAATTATGTTATAATTATTATCAATACCATCGTCTGACATCATCATCATCATCTTTTTATCATCATTGTCATCATCATGATGATAATATACCAGTTTGTCCTTCACATCTCATTATTTCTAGTAGCACTGCATATTTATAATACAAGGTGCTTTCTAAAAATTACATTAATAAGATTATAAATTTATGTTATATTATATCTAATTGTTGGTATTAAGAATTTTTTGACATAATATATAATGTTTAATAAGGACAATTCAATTAGCTCCATTTAAATTTCAAAGAATGTATCAAAGCGCTTGCTTCTGGTGACTTATCCTTATTGGCAAGCATGCACAATGTGCAGCTGCCTCCTCTCCCTTGGGAATATTCCTAGTTGATCTCTAGTACCTTGTGCAGAACAATACCTTTATGCCATCAAATTCCTGCCAAGTATCTAATAGTAATGCTCCTGGGTATTGCAAAATGTTAAAGCTTAATAAAATGCCTTCCTTGTTGAAGATAAGTGAATGTGGAGTTTGAACCATTGAGTATAATTAGTTCAGAGCCAGCACATTTTTCACCACTATAATTATAGCTGTATGTGCTATTTATGTAACAGACATTGCACTCTATGTGGTTTTACAGTACTGTATAATTATTAAATCAGTCTGTGAATCATCAATCACTGATGGAACACATCCAACCATTGCGCCACCCATCAATCCCTCCCCCAGTGTCAATAATCCTACCACCGTAATTGATTAAATTGCATCAATTGTAAATGAAAAATAATATTGTAATGTATATTAAATTATGTTTTGTGTATATTTCATGTTTGCATTTTTTATTGTTATTATGGCAATTTTGTTTAAATTGTATACAATCTATTCATTTTCTGATTTTTTTTTTTATTTTTCATGTACTGCTCTTTGGAACCCTTAAGAATATACAGTAAGTAAATTGCAATCCTTTTTAAATGTATTGTTGAAATATTTTGAAAAACTTGTGAAACTCATAATTCAATTCGCTTGGGAAAAGACCTCTATATGAGCTTACTACGGAGTTGGTTACGAGTTATGTACAAATTATGCCGAGCGAAGCACCAAGTTTACTACGAGCTTTTAACAAGATTAATATGGCAAACTCTTTTAACTCATGCTAAAAAAAAAACCCTAGTGGGAAAGGGGCTTAACACCTGAAAAATATTATAAGTGTGGTTTAATTTGGCCATTTTTGGCAAATCCATTTCAACAACAAACTTACTTTAAAGGTCTGGCTGCAGAAAAACAAATATATGTTGTACAACTGTCTTTTAAGACACAAAAAGCATATTTGATGAAAAATTTGGGAACAGTTAATGGATACAGATTTTTGAATTTTTAAAAATGGGGATACTCTAAAATGAGCAAAACCACCCTTTTTTCCACCTTTTTCAAATTAATTTTACGACATTTCATTTTTTTCCCCTTCCGGAGCCTGACTTTAATATCATTACTCTACATCATAGTACTTTTTAGTATTGCATTAATACAGACAATTCACATTTAGAATAATTATGAGTGAGACAGCTAGCCTGTCAAATGGTACTTTAAATGCTGATGTACGTGCTTTATTTGGATTTTCTCTCTTTAATAGTCTTTTTTGAACTGTTTAGTTTAATGAAATGGTATTGCATATTTTTTTCTATTGGTACCTGGAAATTTCTTTTGAAATACATATGTTATTTATCAAAACCTTACTTATTTAGCAGTAATATGTGTTTTTATTAGTGTCTATTCTTCAAATAATATAATTTTGTCAGGTAAAACAGGAAGCATATACATTTTAGTTCTTTTTCTTGACATATGCTCAATGTTTTACATTTATAAAGCATATTCTTTTTTAAAAGATATTTTGTAAAGATACAACCTTTTGTATCTTTACAAAAGGTTGTATCTTTACAAAATATCATTAAAGATACAACCTTTTGTGTAAATAAGATTTGGGATTTACCAGTAGAAATACATAATGGGTTAAATAAATATTTATTTTCCAATATGTTTTTCAGTGTTCCTTTGTGCCAAAGTTCAGTATAGAAATTGAGACAAAATATGAAAATAATAGTGGAACAACAGAAAATGTAAGTTTCATTTTGTTTTTCATTTTACAAAATACAGTATTATTTTCTCATAGTTATTGGCAGACATAGAAGCCATATAAAACTGTAGTTCATTTAGATGAATGATTTACCAAATGAAGCAAATATAGGTTTCAAAATTTTAAAATAATATAATTATTTACCTTGACTTTTCTTTGTTTAGTTTGTTTTTTGTTTTTTTTTATAGAATCATAATTTGTTTCACAATCTGCAGATTTTACAAGCGATTATACAATTCGCAGGCATCATTATTTCCCTGGTCACTGGATATTGAATTGGCAGATCTGCACATTGTGCAAGTTCCTGTGCTCCTTAGGGAGTATCCCTGGCCATTGTTGCTTGAATGCGCATGACCCATACATTTAATGTTATACAATTCTACCAGGTACCCTTTTATACTCGTGAGTGGAGAGAGGCAAACGTAAGTGCCTTGCCAACGGCACAAGCAATGCGATTGCGTGGGTCTCAAACTCCCGATCTCATAATGAGAGGACCAACACCTTACACGCTGCAACTCACGCTCCTACGAAGTACTGAAAGTGCCTGCAGTATAACAAAATAATTATCATAGTATTAGTAAATAAATATTTGAATTTATACTATGTTTAGTGTTTGGGTTATTCAGAGGAAGATCTACAACAACGCGAGGTGATGGCTCTAGATATAGCATTTGATGAGGTATCAGAGAAGCATTACAAAGAAAGTGAGGTAAGCATTTGTTTATAGTCACAGTACATTTTTAGTGATAAAATGATGGTGTTTTAATGATGGTGGTGGTGGTGATGGAGGTGTTTGTGATGGATGATGGTGGTAGTAGAGACTTCAGGGCTTATGATTTGAGGCGAGTGATTGCTATCGCACACAATCATTCACATAAAATCCTATTCAGGAATGTGAAAAATAGAGCACCTTGGGTTTGAAAATCACTCACCTTAAATCTAGTGAAAACCCCAAATACTGTGGCCATGCTTTCTGTTTGAATGTGTTTTGTGTTGCTTTGAACTCGTATACCACTTTGATGACTGCAGCAGTATGTATTGTAGACTGGGAGTGTAGTTGAAAAGGTCAGTGGGAGTGGAGTTGAATAGCTCAGTAGAAGATGCTTGCCTTCTGATCCCAGAGTCCTGGGTTTAATTCCACTCCCTAAGCCTCATAAAGAGGCTTAGTTTATAAAGCATCATTCTCATCCTGACAGTGGCAAGTGTACTTGATGTTGGATGCGAGGGAAATAAAAAAAATAAAAAAAAATGTGTATACTAACTATTCTGCAGAAACTTCCCCCAAATAATCACTCGCCTAAACAAAAATAGGTGTGCGTTTTTTAGTTCATCAGCCATTTTCAATTAACAAGCCCAGAGACTTTAATCACACTCTTTTACTTTCATATAAACTTTCAAATTATACTGCAGTACTATTTTATCATAACTTGTACATTTATTTCCCCATTTTTAAGTTTATATCCTAAAAAGTTATTCACATAATTAGAGTCTGATGAAGAAAACAGTATTATGAAATTCATGTAGCTTTGTCCACATTATCAAATTAATTTTTTTTAAACAAATTTGTGTGACGTGTCCATATATGGGCATGATGGTACCATATATGGGCATGATGGTGCCATATATGGGCATGATGGTGTCATATGGGCACGATGGTGCAATATATGGGCATGATGGTGCCATATATGGGCATGATGGTGATATATATGGGCATGATGATGTCATATATGGGCATGATGGTGCCATATATGGGCATGATGGTGCAATATATGGGCATGATGGTGCCATATATGGGCATGATGGTGATATATATGGGCATGATGATGTCATATATGGGCATGATGGTACCATATATGGGCATGATGGTGCCATATATGGGCATAATGGTGTCATATGGGCACGATGGTGTCATATGGGCACGATGGTGCAATATATGGGCACGATGGTGCCATATATGGGCATGATGGTGATATATATGGGCATGATGATGTCATATATGGGCATGATAGTGCCATATATGGGCATGATGGTGCATTATATGGGCATGATGTTGCCATATATGGGCATATCACATTTGGTAGTATGGATAAAGCTTTATTTTTTTTCTTGTTCTTACAGTACACCAAATCATGAATTTCCCAAGATTCAAAATAACTTTATTGCAAATCTAAGGAAAACTTTAAATGCACAGAATAATTAAATGTAATAATATTAAACATGTTAAAAAATATTTAAAATACTTCAGTTAAATTAGTTAAAATACTGGTAAGAAAGCAGGACACATTACAACATTAAGATACAAGAGGGAAATGTACAAAACGTGGAAAAACAAAAACAATCAAAAAGTGCATAGATAATGGAGACATAGAAATGAGCAATTATACTGAATACAATACTGAATAAAGTCCAGGATTATGAAATACTGCCTTTTAAACAATATTCAGTGTAATTTACTTGACATTTGTAAAATTCATCTTGCATTGAAATACATTTCCAAAGAACCACTCATAAATATACAGAAATAATAACTACATAACAGTATATCAGGAAATAAACTTTCCCCAAGCCGGACACACCCTGATAATTCTGTTTCGTAACAAGCTAATTTTACGAGTATTTTCTCATAAAGTTTTAATGTCTATTTCCTCATCTGGAGTTTCTGTTCTTCAAAATGTTATTCAATTCATCATAGTTGTCCTGAGAGCCTTTATATGATCTCTTGTTTTTTCTCCACCTTATCTTTAGTATACTCCCCATGAGAACATCTCTTAATTACTTTTATCCTTTCTATTAACACTCAGGAAATATGATTACTTTGCATCAATATAAAATTACTCAAGCATTTTATAGATTTTTATATAATGTGGAGTAATTTTAATACCCATCTACTGTACACGCATAAAATACTTCATTGCTGACGTCACAACATCATGTGAAGCCATTTGTTGCTAAGCAATGTTACCCAGGCAATCGATATGAATGAGAACTTCCTATTACAAGCTGAGACACTAGTTTTTAAAGTGAAGTATCTTTAACTAAATTCTTAAGGCGAGACTTTTTTATACATTGTTTAGCGATCGAAGCCGCCGCCCGCCAATAATAATGATTTCGAATAAATGATATTTCAAATAAATGATTTGGAATAAAATTTTATTTTTGGCCAATTACATGCACCCACCGCTGCAAAAAAAAAAAATCAAAATTTGAGAAAAAAGTGAAAGTTTTTCTTTATATTTATTATGCCCGCCAATAATAGCAATTCTTTTATTTATTCATATTAATTTAAAGCATTTAATCATCCCATTACTACACTGTTTACATTAGACAATAACGTTTTATTTTTATTTTCTCTTCCATCTATTTAATATTTCTATTTTTTTTATCCGCCCTCCCCTGACCATCTTTAAAAAAATAAGTTTGCGAAAAAAGATATAAAGAAAGTCTTGCCTTAACAGTGTATAGATCTTTGTGAACTTATATCAAATAAATATATATCGGATAACTAACGTACTGTACAGTATGAGTATGAATTTCCTTAAGATTTCAATCTGAAGTTGTTAAGCCTTGGAATGTACTGTAGTGCCCTGAAAACTACTATGCCACTTAGCAGCCTTCCAGTAGTAGTATTTTATAATGTCTCGCCCTTGTACAAAGGCCACCCAATACTGGTGTAGCAGTGACATAGGGCCTGTTTATACAACACGGCATTACACGCCTTTTCAGCGAGGCAAAGTTAAGTGTGTTCTATAAAATGAGTTGGGATTCCGTGTGATTACAAAACATCTGGAAAAGAGGCTACTTGAGGAATCACCAAATTTGAGCGGTTGGTGACCCTGGCAATACCTACTTGTTCCCTCAGGCTATGGTGAATAGTAATATATCAGCTCGACAGGTCGTTATTTCGGTAAAGTAAAAAGTATCGCTGGGTGTGTTTAGTGATTTTCTTGAATTTTACCTTTTTGTTGGTTTCATTGATCCTTGAACTATTTTTTTTTTATTTTTTGCTACTGTACCATAATTTTATTTTGGATTTGTATATTTCTGTGGTAGATTTAATATTTAGGCAAGTAACGCGATGAAATCAAGCACGTCATTCTTGTCTTGTCGCTGCCCAAGCCTATGGCATTCATCTGTTCGACTATCTCATGATACTCAACTGTTAGCAATGGTAAATACAATAATTAGTGTAGTAACAATAAAATAGGATTACGAAAGAAAATATTAAGGGAAAATTAAGACGAATATTAAGACAATCGATCAACTGTAAACAATCCACTCCTCTTCCAAAAAAACAAACCGTGCAAATTCAGCTGAAGGAGAGTAGAGTTGCACTGTTGGTTTGAAAATTTATCCCAAAATACATTGCGCCGTACGATACTTTTGGTGTGTAACACACATGTTGTATAAACGGCGAAGTTTGGAGGGTCACCTTGAGTAGTGAAAATTCAGTTAGGGACGTAAAACCATGTTCGTGGTTAGTGTGTTGTATAAACATGATCATAGAATACTGTTTATATTGAGCTGGTTGCAGTATACCTTGGTTGTATAGTAAACTTCTTACCACTTAATTGATTGCTTAATTAATGCAGTTTGAAGCAACTGTGTATTGCCTAAGGATACCAGTAGTACATACAGAAGTTGGTATCTTTATGTAGGTTTTTACTATTTGTTTGTTAATGAGGTGAATTGCATTTCTCACTGGCAAAATGCAGACGGCGCATTAAAACAAAGCATGGCTCTACCTCCATGAGCAGACGACCAGACTAATGTAAACAATAAAGAGTGTTTACAGCTTCTGGATTTGTAATAAATCTGAATTTCTACTTTTTGTGTGTGTCATTCTTACCAGTATTTTATTGCTGCTATGATATTTGAACTGCTAACAGAGTTTCCCTGCCTGCCCACGCATACTTTGGTTATTAGTGCGAGTTTGATGACTTGCATGCAAGTGCTGTTACAATACCGTAAAACGTCGAGTCGAAGCCCTGGGCTTCTTCTTTTATTTGTGAACTTTGGATGGGCTTCTTTTCGAGATGGGGTCTTTTCGAGATGAGCTTCTTTTCGAGGCTACTTTTCCAAAATAAAAAAGTGGGGGGGGGGCTTCTTTACAAAATTAATGCTGTAAATTTTGTGAATTTGTGCTATAAAACAATAAATAAGGACACTGTAACATCAATCTGTACTGTATTATGGAGTGTATTTAACCGGCATTAAATCACCTAAACCACTGTATAAATCAAGCTTTTAAACTTGAACAATAAAATATTATTTCGTGAATCTTACTTTCAATATTATATTTAATTAAATTAGTATTTCAACTGAAGTTAGAACAAGAAAGTGTTTTCAATGTCATACAGACACATTTTTAATACCATTTTAAAAAGAAATTCATCTGGATCCCATATCACTCCTACAGTAAACCAATTATACTGTATTAATAGTGAGCCTTTTTTTATACCTTGTTTCGCAAACATAATTTTTTTAAAGATCATCAGAGAAGGGCTGAAAACAAATTAAAAATAAAATTTTGTTTTCTTGGTTAGCAAGTAGTTTTGCCAAAACCATCCAGACGGAGGAGAAATAAAAATAAAATGTTATTAGTGAGTGTAAGCAGTGTAGTAATGGGATGGTAAATGCTTTAAATTTATATAATTAGGAAGAAACATACATACCGTAAAACCTCGAATTGAAGCCCTGGGCTTCTGTTTT